AGGCGGTGGCGGGCGGTGCATTCGCCTGCAGGCGCGCCGCGCGCAGCGCCCCTGCGGAGTCCCGAGGCTGAGCTCCGGTGCCCCACCAGCCAGGCGCCACCCCGTGGTCGCCGGACACCCGCCCGCAGGGGCAGCAGGTGAGGCCGGGCTCCGCACTGGACAGTCATGGGCGGCTCAGGGTCGGGGTTGGTGGCTGCGGGCCCCGGAGGAGGCTGGCAGGGACGGTGATGAGCATTCAGGCCGGATGCTGGCGGCTGGGGGGCAGGCATCTTGAGAGGGCAACAGGAGTTGCCCTAGCTGGCCCAGGAGTATGTCCGTGCCCAGGTGAGTGGGGGCTCGGGCTACAGGGTCCCTGAGAGGGCATGTCTGGGCGTTTGGTAGGGCCAGGACTTAGGCACAGGTGCCAGGGTGCGCTGTGCTTGGGAAGTAAGCATATGCTTGGGGGCAGGGCATTGAGTCCCTGGGGTGAGTGGCACCTGAAAGGGCCCTTCCCAGCCAATGTGCCCCTGGGAGGGTGGTGGTGGGCGCCTCGCTGTCACAAGTGCTCCTTCCAGGTTTGGTGCATCAGGGACCAGAGGGGGTGTGGCCACATAGGGGGAGTTGCCACCAGAACGGGCTAAATTCCCTGCAGGGCCCTGGGCCATGTCACAAGTGGGCCCTGAGCGGGTGGTCCATGTCAGGATGTGGGCAGCTACATCCCGTCCCCAGAGTCCCATGCCACCCAGGTTCAGAAGAGGCCAAGTCAGCTGTCAGGCCGGCCTGCAGGCCCCAGGCTCTGGGTCCTGCTGCACCTGGGCCCCGCTAGCCCGGAGTTCCTCTCACGGTGCCACTTGTGGCTTTCTCAGCTGACTGGGGGACCGGCGTGGGAGAGCCTGTCCTGGGGTCGAGGGCTGGGGCGGGGTGTCTTGAACATCCAGGAATCTACTCCAAATAAGGGAAAATATGAAAGAGCTGGATTCTGGCTTGCAGGGACTAGTGGCTCAGGGGTCTCTGGGACGCGGCGCCATCTGGTGGTGAGACCAGCACCCCTGCCCCAGGCACAGGAACCCTCCACCTAGCTCTTGTCTCCCCAAATATGGGGAGGTTAGGGCTGGAAGCTAGGACACCCAACTTCTGGAGGGCTGGAGCTGACTACTGGTCAGCTGCTCTGGATTAAGAAATGGACACAGGGACACAGGTGCCCATTGGGTAGTGCCTGCTGTGAAGTGCTTTCCAGTGGGGCAAGGGGAGGAAAACTTAAAGCCAGTCTCAAGTGGGCGCTGGTAAGGAGGGGTGAGTCTCGGTTCCCTCTTTACAGTTCTCCATCTCGCCCCACCCCACCCCACCCCAGTTCCCGCCATATTGGAGCAGTTCTGTGCAGGTGTGTCTGAGAATGGTCAAAAGAGGGAGCCTGCGGGTGGGGGGTCAAGGGGGCCCTTGGGCTGCAAAATGCCATTTGGACCCCTACCAGCACCAGTGGTGGGGAAAGATTAGGAGGGGATTAGTAGCCCCAAAGTGAGAAGGAGGGCAGGGGAGATGCCTACTGGGACCAGGCTGCACTGCAGGTAATGCCAGAGGTAACCATGCCCAGGCGATGCCAGAGGCAACCATGTTTGGGCATGTCGCGCTGGCTGACAGGGCTTTCTCACCCACTGGTCTTCGCAGATAACCAGGGCTAACTAGTGTACAGCTCAAGCTAAGAATTGAGCAGAAAGGACAGAGAGTGCCTTCTGGACCAGAGTCACAAAGCTCCATCCTGAAGGGGGTTACCAGTTCCTGGGGTAGAGTCCTCACTGGGATGAAGCCGAGGATAGGCTGCTTCTCTTGGCCCAGAGCGTCAGCCATGTCCCTGTGCTCCCCTTGGTTGGTGTGTCCCTACAGCAGCCTCTGCAGTCGCCAGAGCGATGGGCCAGAATATTAGGTCTGAGCCAGTAGCTCCCCGTGGCCTTGCAGACACAGTCCAGGCTCCTGGGCAGAACCTGGCCCCCTGGCTTGGTACCAAAGCCCTGTGATCCCCCCACCCCCCAGCCCCAGGGTCCCACTCTGCTGCGCCACCACAGTGAAGCCAGCCCGGGCCTATTGGAGCCCCTGAGTGGGCCCCTCGGCCTGGAAGCCCCTGCCTGGCCAGCGCAGCGGTGGGAGAAGGGGAAAGCCCTTCTCCCCGGTGGCCCAGCTGGAGGCACGGTGGGGCAGGCGGACCGCGCTGTAAGCCGCATCACGGACGCCCTGGGCGGAGGCCCACTGGCACACCGGGCCCCCTCCAAGGCTGCTGGCAGCGGGCGGTGGCCTCCTGGCCCGGTGCCCCACTTCTTCGGGCTGGAGGCGGCCGTGGGTCCGAAGGGCGCAGGTGCGCAGTC